GACACTGCTATATTCTTGTCTCTGCTGGTATGAACTGTTTCAACAGTCTGTCAGACTCTACAGTGCTTTGGCACAAAAGAATATCTCATGAATTCTCCGCACCTAAAACACCTCAACAAAATGGAGTGGTTGAACGCAAAAATCGCACTCTGCAAGAGATGGCCAGGGTCATGATGAACGCAAAGGAGATCGCTCCTCGTTTTTGGGCAGAAACAGTTAACACTGCATGTCATATCATAAATCGAGTCTATCTTCGACCAGGTACCACTAAAACTCCGTACGAAATTTGGAAAGGACCACTGGAAGAGGAACCAACAAAGGAATCGGAAAACAGCTCCAGTGTCGCACCAACAGTTCCAACAGTTGATGCAGCCTCTACCATTTCAGAAGAAAGTGACGTCAATTCTGAAACAGGAGACGAAGCTGAAGTCAGGCCTCTCGAATTGGATGATCAAACTCACAAGGAACCCTCAAGAAGAGTCAAGAAGAATCATCCAGTGGATCAAGTCATTGGCCCGGTAGAAGAAGGAATTCAAACCCGAGGCTTTAGCGATGCTGATTGGGTAGGTGATGCAGACGATCGAAAAAGCACAACTGGAGGATGTTTCTATCTTGGGAACAATCTCGTGTCCTGGTACAGCAAAAAACGGAATAGTATCTCGCTTTCCACTGCTGAATCGGAATATATCGCCGCTGGTAGTTGTTGTGCCCAACTCTTATGGATGAAACAAATGGTATGTGATTATGGTATTAGTCAAGATTGATTGCATATTTATTGTGACAATGTGAGTGCGATTAATATTTCCAAGAATCCAGTACAGCACTCTCGAACTAAGCATATTGAAATTCGCTACCATTTCATTAGAAATCTTGTAGAGGAAGGAACTGTCTCATTAGAGTATGTCACAACGGAGAAACAACTTGCTGACATCTTTACTAAACCCCTAGATGCACAAAGGTTTGATTCCTTGCGAAATTCGCTTGGAATTTGTATTGTCTGACCTGTGCAGTTGCATAAACTGTTGCAACAGTCTGTGTCCAGACTTGCAACTTTTAAAGTTTTATGGACACATCACGCATACTGCATTTTGTTCATCTAGGTTATGCATTAGACATATTGCATGTGATGAGACCCCTTGTGTATTGGATACTATCTGTACTTTCGAATCTTGTGAGGTAGAACTTCATCAATCCCCAAATGATAGCTACAGAGGCTTTAGCATATTTACTACCCTTCACAGTCTTGTCATGGTTGAACACACTCATAAGGAAAAGCTGCCGCTTCAAATGAGTGAAAGCTACTCTTGAATTTTCGTTAATTCTATATATAAAATGTCAATCAATTGGTCTGTGAATAGTTCGAAGCCTTTTTGAGTTGAGTCAGTAAATCACGTGGCCGAAAGCTCGCTACAAGGCTCAATTAGAAAGCCCAAGGGACTACACATTGCACGACCATTATAAATTTTATATGCGGTCAGTGAATAGTTCGAAGCCTTTTTGAGTCGAGCCGGTAAACCACATGACCGAACACTCACTACACGACTCAATTAGAAAGCCCAGGGGACTACACATTGCACGATCATAACTATCTCGCTATTTTAATTGCTCTGCTCTTCATGAAAAAGCTACCTTTGATAGTGTGTGTATGCTGCCTAATAAGAGTGTTTTTGTGCTTGATTTAAGGACACTAAATTTGCTGTTAGTCTCCTTAGTCTATCTCTTGGAGCTTGCTTTTTGTTAAAATTGAAGATAAACCCCATGGTTTGATAGTCCTAATAGTATCCTATTCACTTGTGTTTATTCACTCATTTTTTTTCTTCTCACGTTTTTTTTTTTCGTCCTAGTAATTTAATTCTGCATATTAGGCATAAATTAAAAAAAAAAAAAAAAAAAAAAAAAAAAAAAAAAACCCGGGGGGGGTTCGTATATTTTTTGGCGGCAATCATTTTTTTGGAGAAACCCATTTTTCGGGGCTTTTTTTTTCTTCCCAAATTTTTCTTGAACTGTGTAGGGCTTATATGTGAAGGTTGAGAGTTGCTGTACCTGAACTTAATTTCATAAAATTGCTCTCATTGTTGGCAGAATAATATTTGCAATTTCTTCACTATAATCTTCCTAAATTGCTAAAATACCCATGAGAAGACCAACAGTTACCCATGTTTCTGCCCCTTTTTCGTTTTTTCCTTCAATTTGGTTTTCTTCTCTACTGCTCTCTTTTCTTTCTTCTTCCTTTGCAGCAAATCACAAATCTGCACTCAAATCAAAGGAATCCAAGAGCACAGTTATGGGGAAACGAAAAAGCACCGGTGGGTCGTCTTCTTCGTCCAAACGACGACCATCTCGACCAGCAACCACGTCTTCGGCAGCTCCTCCGCCGCGTCGCCGCTCCGATGACCGCCATGTCTTCGGGGAGCCATGTGATGCCGTGCCCCTTGCTTTTTGGGAGCCCCCGCTCCTTCTCACGGCTGCCTCTGCTGAGAATTTTGGGAATCTGCCCGTTGTTGTGGGTCATAGGGTCTCTCCACCGCCATCGCCGCTAGTGACGCCACAGTCGCCGCCAGTGACGCCGCCGTCACCCTTCAACTATTCTCCACCGTCTTCTCCGCTGCCACACTCTCCGGCTGCCCAATCGTCTCCACCACCAGTTGAACCGACATCGCCGCCGTCGTCAACCACCGCACCGGCTTCACCCCCACCGCCGCCATCCTCGTCGGTCAACAAAGGCAAGGGCCCTGCCACCACACCACCGCCGCTCCGTCGCTCTCGTCGACGTGCTACTCACTCTGCCTCGTCTTCCGCTCAACCCACCACCTCTGATGACTCTGCACCCGATCCCGTGGTGCCTATATCTACCGTCGATGCCTTTAATTCTCGGTTCTTTCTCCGAGCGCATCAAACCCGGTGGCGTCTGTCAAGTGGTTCATGATTTTTATGCCAACCTACCTAGTGGGGTCTCTGATTTTCGAGGTCGTTTTTACGAAGAAGAAACTCGACTATTTTACTGCCCTTGCTCAGAAAGGGGGAGATTATTCTTGAGGGGGAGTTGACAACGAAGCATCAACCCAGGAGGAACCGCATACAGGGGGAGCTGATGCAGCTGCTGGAACTACTACTGAACTGTTGTTGCTCCAACTGTTCCAACAGTTGATGGTACAACAGCTGAAGTTGATATGAATGATGACGAGGAGTTGTTCGTTGATGCTGAATGTATTCTGGAGTAGTTTTTTTGTGGTTGTCGAATTGATTTTCTGAACAACGGCCTCTAATAGTCTGCTAGGCTTACTTTTTTCTTGTTTCGCTACCTGCTTTTTCCTTTAACTGTTCTAACAGT